AAAAAAAAAAAAAAAAACCTAAAATGCAATAAAAAATTAAATTAAATTAAAAATTTAAAAAAATGCTCTTAAGTCTGAAACTTTTTGAGTCCTGATATTATGCCAATAGTGAAAATCCCACCCACAAGTACTTAACACAACTTTTGTTTCATACACAAAAGTACTTAAAATATTGTATGAATTTACAGGCTGTTTATGTAAGTTGTATATGAAAGATAAATGAATTTCGTGTTTAGACTTGGCTCCCATCCCCAAGATACATCAATTTGTATATGCAAATATTCCCAACCCCCCCAAAATTCAAAATCCGAAACATTTCTGGTCCCATGTACTTCGGAAAAGGGACACTCAACCAACAACTGTTAATTTTAAAATTGAAGAAAACTACTGTTTGAAAAAAATGCTGAGAAGCCCAGAAGAAGAGATGAATGAACTATTAATATTGTCTTTCTTCCAAAATACATTCTTATAGTCGATTTCAAAAGTGTCACTCATTTGTTTCTCCTCATATACTATAGAAGATAGGGTCAGCGCTTCTTTTGATTGTGACACCTGCGATGATAGTAATAGTCATGACTTTCTGTTTTCCCAGTTCCATTACTTAGATAACTCTGTTTCCTCTTACTAATTGTAGCTAGGCTCACTATTGAAAAATATGTTGAATCTCTTTCCCCTTCTCTCCCCACTCTCTCTCACACACAGACACACACACACACGACTTCAAGTGGTAGCCCTTTAACAAACAACATGAGTCCCCATACCTTTATAAGTGCTGACGGTTCACGTCCTTCTTCAACAACAATTAGTTCAGACCTTCCTTTCCTTTCATTGTATCGAATGCCAGTAGCTACCTGGTTTGCCTTCAGACGTTCATATTTGTTGCAAGAGGAACCACACCACTGATAAATTTCCTAAAAGAAAGAGGCAGATCTGTTGACCCTAAGAATATGAGAAAGACATTCAGCCTCAGTTTAATACTGGTGATTATTTAAGAAAATAAAAGGAAAATTAAATGACCTGTTGTTAAAGTATGTATGTAATTGTTATACTTCATTCTGCATCCTGCTGCTTTCAGTTAGAAGTATAAAGTAAGCAGTTTTTAAGCATGGAAAATATAAATATATATATCTCCATTCTTTGTGTATATAATCTATAAATAATTTATAAAAGTAAACATATGGATTAAATTTGAAATAATAAATATACCATACTTCAGAAAAGTAGTCAAGAATCTGCTAAAATAAGATACTCTTGATGATCATAAAATTGATATAACACTTTGGTTAAACTATTCATGTTTTTAAACTAACAAATATATATTGTATATATTTATTGTGTATAACATGATGTTTTGATATATATGTACATTTTGAAATGGTTAAATCAAGAGAATTAATATATGCAAAGCAATTTAACAATTCTTATCAAGAGACATAAAAAGAGTGATATTGTCCCAGTAATATCACTATCTGGCACTTATTTTAATAAATTATTCATAAAAGGAGAAAAGCACACACACATACTAGCGTTTTTATTGCTATGTGATTATATTGGTGAGGCATTAATTGATGCCTGAAAAGGCATTAATTGTTCAAGAACAGGATAATAGTTATATAAATTATGATACATAGGGAAAATTTCATACTTAACTGTTAAAATTATACTTTAACATCAAAACATGAATAAGTAGAAACAGAACATCAGTGTGATATATTGTGGAGATTATATTAGCTGCCACTTAGACTAAACTACTACATAGTTTAGATTTTAGTATAGTGTCCAGAAGGTATACAAATACAAATGTAAAATAATAATAAAAAACATCTCCTCCATTAACAGGGTTTACCAAAAGAAAGAAAGAGAAGTTAAGCAATACCCAAACCTGGAGGGGCTGTTGGAATGGGCATTATCACCCACTATTTGGGTGGTATAAACTGACGCAGGTTTTGTAAGGGTGGTTTAGCATCATTATCAAAAAATTAAATATGCTTTTAATGTCAAGAAATTCCATTTATATGAATCTGTACTACAGAAATATTCAAACATGGGATATATGTAAAAAAAAAAGAAAAAAGAAAAAAAACAAATGCCCATAAATAAGAGGAGGGCTACATAAATGTCATTGTGTGGATACTGTACACTCCTCTTCAGTAGTTAGAAATTAGGAAAAAATGTTTAAATACTTATTTAGAAAATTAGTGAAGGTACATCATCAAGAATACAATAAAAACATAGAAAAATATATTACATTTAAGTAGAAACAAAAACACAAGCTCCGTCTCTGTGTTTGCACAAAAAAAAGACAAACAGTTTTAAGAGAGTCAGACGGCATGCATATGCAGAAAGAAAGCCTTCAATGCTTATTGGATCTAAGTCAGTGATTTTTTTATGTCATATATATTACTAGGTGCTTATTACGCTGGGGATACAGAGATAAATAAGAAAAAACTAGCAAGGAGAGATGGACAGGTAGAAAAATTGGCTAATAATACATTTGCACCATGCTTGGTTTTCAAAACATTCCCACAAACATTTCATTAATTCACCATATAGACTTGTGGTTCAGTGTGAGGAAAATGGACCTAGGCTGCCACTTTCTGGGCATTTGACAGTGTGTTTGCAATTTTTAAAAAGAGTAAATAAATCAGTAACATCAAAATATAACATCCAGGGAAATGAACTCTTCTCTGATTACATTTCCAGCCCAGAGTCATTTCCTCACTCAAAAAATGGTCTACTGAGTGCCTAAAACGGAGCAGCCTCTCCTGTACGTACAGGAAGCATGATTCTGAACAAAGTAGGCTTGTAACAGTCTCTCTGACCTGCTCCCTTAACATCCCTGATGACCTAATCCATAGTCCTCTTTAAGAATAAAAATATGCATTTTAGCAATGCAAAACTTTATAAGAAATAAAATAAAAATGATGATGTCTAGCAATCCTTTTCTCTCAAGAATCAAATACAGTTATGTATTATGGTCAAAGGGTGTTTCTTTCCTATTTCTAAAAGAAGAGTGTACTTCTTTTGTTTCTTTTTAACCTCTTTTCTACATCTGAGCATTGGAATATGAGGCTCACATATGGAGGTCATTTGAATACCATGCCAAAGTTAGCAGTTATAAAGAGTAAAAATAAATGGCTCACAGTGATCAGTCAACTCTTAGCCACTGAATACTAAAATCAGATAATGGAGTAGCAAAGTAATTTTTAAAAACATATGTGAGCCCTTTCCTGAGGAAATCTCAGGTGTGTTCTGGGCAGCTGTGTTTATCAAAAGCTCCCCAAGCGATTCTAGCATTCAACCAGTGCGTACCAGGTATGATGTACTCTGAGCACACCACACCTGTCGTGCACAACAGGGAATTTGTAATATCTAATTATCCAGTGCAACTCAGTAGACTTTTCTGCTGAGCACAAACTAGTGTTGTTTGTTTTGAAAACGTTTGCTTGCACTTGACTCATGACAGAAAAACTGACCCTATAAATCAGAATATTTTTCCCTACATGTATCTTTGTTTTTGTTTTTAATTTTAATAGGTTTTTGGGGAAGAGGTAGCATTTGTTTAGATGAATAAGTTCCTTAGTGGTTATTTCTGAGATTTTGGTGCTCCCATCACCGGAGCAGTGTACACTGCATCCAATGTGTAACTGTTTGTCCCTCACCATCCCTCACCCTCCTGAGACCCCAATGTCCAATGGATTAGTCTTATGTCTTTGCATCCTCATAGCTTAGCTCCCATGTGTGAGTGAGAACATACGATGTGTCGTTTTTCAGTCCTGAGTTAGTTCACTTAGAGTAATAGTCTCCAATTTCATCCAGGTTGCTGCAAATGCCATTATTTTGTTCCTTTTATAGCTGAGTAGACTTAAATCTAAGAACTGGAACCATAAAGATTCTAGAAGATAACATTGGAAAAACCCTTCTCAACATTGGTTTAGGCAAAGACTTCATGACCAAGAACCCAAAAGCAAACGCAACCAAAAAAAAAATGTAAATAGATGGGACTTAATTAAACTAAAAAGCTTCTTCACAGCAAAAGAAAGAACCAAGAGTTAACAGACAACTGACAGAATGGGAGAAAATATTACCAAACTATGCCCTTGACAAAGGACTAATATCAAGAATCTACAAATACCACATCAGCAAGAAAAAAACAAACGACCCCATCAAAAAGTGGGCTAAGTATATAAGTAAACAATTCTCAAAAGAAGATATACAAATGGCCAAAAAACATATGAAAAATGCTCAACATCACTAATTATCAGAGAAATGCAAATCAAAACCACAATGCAATATCACCTCACTCCTACACGAATGGCCATAATGGAAAAATTTAAAAAAAAAAATAGATGTTGGCATGGGTGTGGTGAAAGGGGAATACTTTTATACTGTTGGGTGGGAATGTAAACTATGTAACAACCACTATGGAAAACAGTGTGGAGATTCCTTAAAGAATGAAAGTAGATCTGTTTGGTATAGCAATCCCACTAGTAGGTATCTAGGAAAAGAAGTTTATTCCAAAAAGATTCTTGCACACACATGTTTATAGCAGCACAATTTACAATTGCAAGAATATGGAACCACCCAAAATGCCCATCAGTCAATGAGTGGAGATATATATATATATATATTTTTTTTTTCACATTATATATATATACACGCACACGCACACCATGAAATACAAACTAGTGTTTTTCTCAGATTCCTCTTCCTAGCTTATTTAATTATATTTTACAAGTGATTATTTTTTCTGCAAGTCTGAGAAAGCAAACTTCTAATAATTATATTTTACATTAAAGTGAAAGTGAAGTAACCAGAACTTAGCTCTCTAGAACTTTCAGGTTCATTAGCAAGTTTCACTACTGACTTACTAGGTATTTATAAAATCATTTAACAGATGTTTATGTTTTTGTTACCTTAGTTGTGTAAGTGACCTCTCATCTACTTCAAAGAGATTATATGATTACAGTAAATTTTATTAGCATCTGTAAAACATAATCAGAGCATGGTAAAATGTGTTTTAAAGTGAATGAGAACATGATAATTTTACAAACATAGTTATTACTTAACATAGGAGTCTACAAATATTTTATGGATCCCAGAATATTTTCTATGATATTACCGTGAGTTGGAGTTTTATGTGCATATCAATTCTGAGGTAAATTTAATTATAGAAAATATTTCTCATCATTGCTTAGAGACCACAGGTTCCCTAAGTTACTTAACTTTAAAATAGTAAAAACACATTTAGGAAATACAAAAATATTAAAACGTTAAAAGTGAAGTTTTCTGTTTAACTTAAAGATGACTAAATTACTAAGCAAAGTGTTATAGAAAACTTCTAATTTAACATGAGAATGAATGACTTGTATACTCTCACTTTTTAATTTTCACCTTATTTTATGCCACCATTTACATACAAGTGACATATTTTCCTATTTAGACTTACTTTTCAATGGTTGAGATAAAAAATTTAATAAAATGATAACTTTAATTGTAAATGGCTAAAAGTCACATTGCTTGACAAGTCATCATTAAAACACTGTTTTCTCTCTCTCTCTTTTTATTTTATTTATTTATTTATTTATATTATTTTTTGAGACAGGGTCTGACTCTGTCACCCAGGCTAGTGTGCAGTGGTGCAATCTTGGCTCACTGCAGCTTCAGTCTCCGGGTTCAAGGAATCCTCCTGCCTCAACCTTCTAAGTAGTTGGGACTACAGGTGTGTGCCACCAAGGCTAACAAACATCTGTATTTTTTTGTAGAAATGGGGTTTCACCTTGTTGCCCAGGCTGGTCTTGATGTTCTGGGCTTAAGCAATCTGCCTTCCTTGGCCTCCCGAAGTTTTGGGATTACAGGTGTGAGCCACCGTGCCAGGCTGAAAACACCATTTTCATTCAATCTAATCAAA